AAATTGTTACTAAGAATGTAAATTGACAAATTATTTGAATATAAACATTTCCATAGATAATTATTTTACTATTTATTTCATGATTATCTATTTCTGCTTTATATATAGTAATTAGATTGCATGTATTTTGACATTTTTTAAATAATAATTAATAACTTCTTACATAATTTCATTATAATTCCGTATGCTTCTGCATGATTTTAGTTTCTAGATCCATATGAAGTTTTTGTACAGTTCTAATATGTTTCTTTATGTGTTGTTCTGCAGTTGAATTTTCTAAATCATGAAGTTGTTTTTTCTGTGCTGCTTCCAAAGCTTCTTCTGCATGTAAATGTCGCAGTTTAAGTAACCTTGATTCATAGTGTAAAAGTTCCTCCTATGCAATATATATTCATTTTGATGTAAATATAATCGAAATGCATTCAATTAACAATCTAAATTATGAAAATTTTGATAATGGCTTTCTTAACATTTATCATTTAACATCTATAATTATAGCTTATAATTATTCTTACAGATATGTATGAAAAAATGAGATTAAATTATAGTTATTATTACCTTTAAAGATGCTAATTCTTCAGGAGAGAATTTTGCTTCTAGTGCAGTCTTCCATAATCCTTGTACTTTAGGTTCTATAAATTCTTTATAATTTGGTCCCTTTGCGGTGAGTCTGTCTAAACGATCAATTCCGTTTCTCAGCTCCAAATGTTTTTCTCTAAATAAAAAAAGAAATTATTTTAAAGTTTATTTAACATCTTGCTTTGATTCGTAGCCTTTATCGTTTAATTTGTTTTAAAATTTTGAGTTCTAAATATATTGATTTTTATTTTTCAAAATAGAATCAATCGAAAAACTAGTTCATACACATACATATATCTTTTATAACATATGATAATACCGAAGTAAATCTGCCTTCTCTATTTGACTTATTTTCTGATCTGGTACATTGTTTAATAATTCCTCCTGTTCTTCCAACTCGTTCCAGCTTTCTGATTTAAGATGTAAGATATCTAAAAATATTAGTCGATATATATAAATATAAAATATAAAAATAACATTTAAAACCATATATATATGAACGTAAAAGACTAACTTTCCGACTTCTTTGAATCTTTAAATTCTTCTTTCAATAAACTTATGTATTCGTCCACTTTTTCTTGATGATGTTGAAACTCTTGTTTTAAAGTCTCAAGCTCCTCATCTAAAATAAAAATCGAATTATAATTTTAAATTAAATTTTCTTATAAGATACTTCTATTGATGTAATATCAGTAATTTAAAAAAACATACCGGTAAAACCAGCCATTTCAGCTTTAGCCCATAATTTGTTCAGTCTTATATCATTAAATACATCCTTTGCAACATAATTGCTACCATCATTTAGCGCTTTATGCGTTTTAAGTAACTTTGGATCTTCAGTATCAGCAAAATGTTCCAATAGATCATATGTACTCATTATTCCTTTGACAAAAAGTTACAAAAAATTAAGATTTAGTAAAACAATAAAAGTAAAGATAAAAGTAAATGGATGATAAAAGTTACCGATGAGCTTTTGTCTTAGACGTGCTTCTTCCAAGCCATCAGAATCCTTTCCTGCAAACCTGAAATGCTTGTATGCAATTTCTTCTTTGTCATGAATCTTTAGATCGCTGAAGATGGATTGCAGTTTGCTATCAGTTAGACGCTAAAATAAATATTCACATGTAAAATTAGAAAATAAAGAGAGTACAAATATAAAAAAATCTATACTCTAAATCTATACTTCTTTGGAATAGAATTTCACTCTAAAGAGTGAAAATTTAGCTTTGAAAAAAAAATGACTCAATTTTCAGTCTTAAAAAGTCATCAGATTTACTTTAAATTTTAGAAAGTATATTTACTTATTTATTATATTTTTAATTGTATTCTATGTGCAATCCATTACTCACATTTTTGGCCTTAACCCAAAGCACATTCAATTTTGCCATCCTGAATGGCAAATCCAAATCTCTGAGAGACGTTGGGAACTGCGAGGAATCTACATATTTATCCTTATTTGCCTCAGCGGAGTATTTGTGGTATTTATTCTCCCCTATACTGGTATGAACTGACAGACCCAGATTTATTAAAAGAATGAATTTTGCATTCAAAAAGATCATTTTTGTGTTTTATTCATAAACGATTGCACGAGCCACGTGATACACGATTCATAAATGATACAAACAAGTGCAAAGTTGCAAACGTGTCAAACGAAATTGACACTGACGTACTTATAAGCATGTAGCCGTGTACCAGAAAGAAGTCGCGTTCAAATCAGTTTAGATGACACGTAAGTTAGGTTATGTTCGCTTTTGAGGTTTGATTTGGAAATATTGATTGGAGATTTGAATGAAGCTGCCCGCGTCTGATACGTTGAACATAAGTTTCAGGAATTAAAGAGTTTATTCTCATTCACGGAAACCCCGAATGTCTGCAAGTGTCTTCTAGTGTCTTCGATAACGCAAAAAATGCCGCCAAAATTAAAGGTTGTAGTTTAATATTTTTTATATTTGTTAAAGAGTCTAACACACTTCTGCTCGATAAGATGATTTAAAATTATACACTAGAATATAGCGCAGAGTGTAAAATATATGTGTTTTTAAGGGCATTTTTGTTTAATAAAATTGTATTATAAATTGTATTAATAATTGTATGATAAATTATACAATTATATATTGACATTACATTTATTTGAATTGTCAAACATTTTGTCTTTCATGTCAATAGGAGAGTATAACTTTTGTGATGAATGTTGGAATCGTCCAACCTGGGACACAAAGTAATTTGCAACTGTTGGACAAAGAGAAGTTTATTCTTAAACATATTATTCAAAAAAAGGTATGCTTCTTTTTGCCATAGTTTTAAAAGATGTTTCCATTCAATGACACAAATATTCTTTCTTGACATTCAGTGAGAAACAATAGTGAATTCGGTTATTGCATTATACACTGAATTATACACCAAGTTATTTACATTAAAAAACTACTTTATATAAAAATCTAAATGCAGTGGCGTAATATCTTAACAATGAAATATAGTATATGTCTATTTTGTTAAATAATATGTGATAATATCATTATATTGGATATTCAAAATGTTTATGTGTTTCTATATTTAACTTTGTTAATTTCATATATAATCACTTTTAATATGCATTTAATCTAAATGTAATGCAAGTGACCAAATTTACTAAAAGATAGAACAACACTTGTACTAACTTGTGTTACCAAATGAAAAATATCCTCTAATCACTCGCATTTAAGTTTCTGTTAATTATGAGCATACTGTGCAGATATTTCTACGTCCTAAGGATGAAATGGGAGTGATATTGATGGGCTCAGATAGTAGTACAAGCGACAGTATTACAGGATTAGATAATGCACAGGAATTATGTAACATGCAAATTGGAAATTGGAATTTGATAAAAAGCATTGAGAAACTGCAACCCACAAATCAGATTTGTTCTTGGATGGATGCAATTTATGCTGCAGTCGAATATATTAAACACGAATGCGTGTAAGTATTTAAATACAGCGTAATGTTAAATTTTAATCAATATATATTATATTTACTATGTTTCTTATTGCAGAGATAAATGTGAGAGGAAAATAATCCTGTTGTCTTCTTTCACCGAAGAGGAAAATGTTGTTGATGTATTTCAAGCAGAGGATATAATAGAAATACTAAATTCAGAAGCAATTTCACTCATAGCAATGTATTGACTATACTGTATACAGCATTATTTTAATTATATTGTTAATATTAGTAATAGTAATAACAGAAGTTTAGATTAATGTTATGCATGAAGTTAGAATAAAAATATAAAGTAGAACAAAAAATTTGATATGTTATAGTGGAGAAAGAGCATTACATGATATAGATGAAGATTCTCAAACACCCAGTGAAGCACTACTTATGAATGTTCTACAACAGGTAATTTAGACAAATGTGTGGTCATTAAATTACAATAGATTATAAATTTTGCATCTAATTATATAGAATGTAATAATGATCTGATAAATATATATATATGTATGTTTATTATATTATATTACTATATTTGATATATATGCGTATATATATATATATATTTTTTTTTACAGATTAATGGTCAGTATCTCACATTTGATCATGCTATGTCAGATGTGCGCTTCTACAAACGGCCATCTACTAAACCGCTTCTATGGCGTTGTCTGATGGAATTGGGCGAATTATGCATACCGATCGCTGGAATTTCTAAAGTAAAGTTCTAATATGTATAAAACAGTTATTATATCTCTTTTGCGTATATATATATATATATATATTTTTACATATTATTTACTTTATAAGATGCCGAGTGAAATGAAATTACCGGAAATGATATTGATGGGTAAGACAAGTACGTCCAATACACCCGATAAAGAAGTACCAATTAAGAATGTTGTACAATGGATGGACAACAATAAGACCATTCATACAGAAGAAGATATTATCCGTGGTTATGTGTACGGTGGCAAGGCTATTCCTGTTTCGGGTAACTCTTATTAATTTTATAATAAAAATGTTCTACATATAAGTTCTGATGGCTCATGTGTACATGCCAATTATAGATGAAGCTAAAAAAGCCATGACTCCCAAAAACAATGAAAAAAGTTATAAGATCCACGGTTTTACAAAGAGAGAAAATATTCCTATGGAATATTGGCTGTCGGATGGTTCTTACGTTATTATACCTGCTAACGAGGTAGTAGAGTTCTCCTATTATGTATAGGATGTTCAAAAAAGATGATACCAAACTTTGGGAATATGTAGTACTCGTGAAAACAAACTGAAAAGTCTTAATAAGCAGAACTCTAAAAACTATTTATTTCCGAATTATAAAACAAAAAATAAATTTAATTATATAATAACAACAGATATTCAATGTGTTCTCCGTTCATTTCAATACATCAGTATGTCTTTTCTTTTTGAAGAATCGAACATGGTTAAAGATTCTAGATTTATCTCAGATTTGTTGACAACAATATAATTTTTTATGTGTCAAAATTAGATACTGTTAATGATACGCGGGTGAATTGACATTGACTGAATAGAGAATTGAAAAATTATCAACGAGCAACGAGCTTAGAAGTTCGTGAAGGATAAGGTGGTTGTGTAAATACACGTTTACATACTCGAAATGAATGGATTATTTATTACAACGGAAAATGCTTTATAACTTGGAAATAAATAATTTTGGAGTATTGTTTAAGATTTTTCGGTTTGTTTTCACGAGTACATATTCCTAAAATTTGGTACCACCTTTTTCGAACTCTCTATATAATGACCGTAAAGTTCAATGATGTAACAGTAAAAATGAATAAAAAATTCTTTTACAGGCAGCGAGTGCGCCATTTTATAGTCTAGTGCAAGCCATGGTTGACAAAAATGTTGTCGCGATAGTAGAGAAGATTTATAGAGCAAATACCGAAGCTAACATGGTGGCATTATTTCCAAGTGTTGACATAGAGAATGAACCATGGGTAAGAATATTCTTTCTATTGTTTCTCATTTTGCTAATCAGATAATTTTTATAACAGTGTCTTATTGAGATCGGTTTGCCATTTGAGCGAGATTATGGAGCAATAGCGCAGAAACCATTGAAAGGCGTGATGAATCAACTGTCGCAGGAGCAGGATAACGCAATAGATGATCTGTTAAAATCCTTAGAATTACCTGATGCGTAAGTATATATAGCATAAATATAAATATGATATATAATGTACATAACATAAATATAAAATATCCCTACTGAAACATTTTCTTATATTATTTTTCATAATATTCTTAAGAATTTGTAATATTTTGTGAAAATTTTTAAAAAAATTTATTATTTAAAATTTATTAATTAAAATTTTTTCAAATTTTATGTTTTCTTTAGAAATTATAGAATGAGAAATCTTAAAAATCTTAGAATATTTCATAATTTATATATATGAAGAATTATAGAAAAAAGATATGTATGTATGTAGACTTCCCAGAACACCTCAGAAAATTATTTTAATTCGTATAAATGATTTTAGAAATTTTCTAAAAAATTGTAAAATTATACAGAAAGACTGAAAAATTCTAAAAAGTTATATAAAGAATTCTAAAAAAAAAAATTTATCGAGGATATCCAATAAATTAGGAAGAACAATGTTATATTTTTTGCAATATTTATACAATATTGTTAATTGTCTATTGAATTTTTATATCAGTGCCGATGATGATACAATCAGTAGTAGTGAGAAATATTTACCGGGATATATGCCGGATCCTGGAACGCAACACATGTGGGATGTATTAACAGTTCGTGCGCTTAATCCAGATAAACCGTTGCCGCCTATCGCCGACGATCTATTGAATCTTTTAGAGCAACCTGAATTCATAAAAGCAAAATGCAAACCAGTGACCGAAAGAATCAAAAACTTGTTTTTCTTAGAAAAAAAGAAGCCGCTTAGGAAGTGAGCATATTCATTCAAATCAAACTAAAAAATTTTCCCGAAATGGATTTAACACTAAAATTATCGATTTGATAAATGTACATTTTTAGGCGTAAAACACAAGAGGACGATAATAAACAATCTGATGCTAATGATGATGCGCCTATGACATTTAAAGAAGAGCAAAGAGATACTGGCAACAATGATGTAGACGATATCTCTGATTTGTGCAGTTTCAATTTTGATGATATTGTAAGTACATAAACTCTCATATTATGTAAATGCTTTATAAAATTTTGGATATATGATTTTTTATATGCAACAAACTTCTTTAAAGAGACAAATATTCTTACAGGCTGATATATAGGAAACTGCTGGCAGTAATTATTTTGGCAATTACGTTACAATACTATACTTCTTGGATCATATCTTGATTCACATTATATAATCAACGATTTAGAAACCAGAAACCATTTAATAATATATTTTTGAAATACATATTGAATTAAATTAATTGCGATGCGTTTTAGATTTAATAAACAATAAAAGGATGCAATATTAATATTGCAGTGAGAAATATATAGAATTTCTTTTTTCTAGAATTGTTCTTATTCTTCAGTATATTTTCTCCAATCAAGAGTAACGATGACATTACCGTTAACGAATACGTTTCGTATTCGTATACGATAACAAATAGGGAAAAGATGAGGTCACTCACCCACGTAACGCCTACCTTTTATCCTCGACTTACCAAAAATCCGTTAATACCTGAACATTAAATTATGCTTAATAATTGATCAAAGATTTACTGAATACAAACAAGCAATATAATATTCTAAAAAAGTGAAGATTTTTATCAATATTTCGTAACATATAACTTTCATTTTTAAAAGGAGAATAGTTTGGTAATTAATATTAAATTTGAAACAAAGTTAATTTTAGATTTTTGTATATTAATGAACATTATATGTCCGTTTGCGCAATTGAAATTCAAATGTTAGGTAAAAACATAAACATTTGCAAATTGGTTTTAATGTACCCTTTTGATTTACATGGCTCTTAAGTTATCTCATCGATTCGATTCGCGAAGATGATGCGTGGCATTTCATCCATATCTATAAAAGGAAAGAGATCTGGTACGGCATGAGGCTGATTACCATGAAACGTGCGATTCCCCGATTCTTGCATTTGAAGCATCCTGTACTCAGCAGCGAATCAAGACACTACAAAGCCCTGAATGTGACATGATTTTATGATGGGATTGTACCGTTAATATAGCTTATTTCAGGAAATATTTAACTATTGGAATTATTTTTTAAACGAGGTATTATTAATAATAGAAACTTGATTGATATCAACAGACCAGGCTATTTATTCAAATTATTTTGTATATAAAAATTAAGAAAATATAAAGTTTTTAATTGCAAAAATAGTACATTAAATGTTGAATTTTATTGTAATATTCTAACAGTACAATAATTATCACGATGTGATAATTATCGAATGTTCATGAAATACTGAAATAACAATATTTTGCCATTAGTATTCATCTCATGAGTTCGCAGCGCGAATCAGTGGCTATCCGTGCTGTCTAATGGACGGTCTTCGGGCGGGGAAGACGAAGACCGAAGATCCAACAGTTCAGTCGACGAGGAGACGCCGCGTTGCGAGGATCAACAGGTGCGAGTAAACGCCTGTCGTTTGAGAAGCATGGGTAAGTCGAGTACGACTTAGTTGGCTGTACCTTGACACTTTACTATCCCCGACCGACGAAACAGGTCGAGCGTGTCGGATATTGCACTCTGTGAATCTCACGACTCGTCAACGCGTCACGAATAGAATCTCGTCCGTCCCTGGAAAACGATCCTGGATCCTTCCTTGAACGCAGTTCTCGCTCGCGTCATAGTCTCAATATAAATTTAAGCGAGTTTCGTCATGGTTGAGCAATTTTTACCATTAAATAATTCTAAGATACCAAATAATTTCAGATACTAAAAATAAAACGTGAAAGTGTGAAAAGAGATTGGATTCTTTAATTCTCATTAAATATTCTTTAGATATTTTTAAATATTTTGCTTTTCTCGTGTTATAAATGTTAAGGAAATTATATTGTTTTCGATTTTAATAATTTCTGGATATTATTGGAACGTTTAGAGATTAATGTAAAAAAAACCGTTTTAATTCTTCAAACGGTTTTTGAAATTTTTAAAATATTTTTTTAGTATCTCACATTTTTTTAATATCTTCTGATTTTTTATGTTACCATCGATTATCATAAATATTTTAAAGAAATATGTTGTTCAATTCAATTCAATTCAACTATCTGCTTATCTGATTTCACCTATCTGCTTCTGAAACGTAAAAAACAAAAATGAACAAAAAAAAAACGTATTTTTTAAATGTTTTATGATTTTTCGATATTTATTGGTTGCCATCTAACATTACATAAATATCGATTCGTTATTTTGTTAGTTGAATATAAATTTTTCTTTAATTTAAAGTAGTGCCTGTTGAAATGTTCGCAAAGCTGGTCGTTTACTCATATTGTTTCTCGTAGAAAGTTCACAAATTAGAAAAGATACAATGAACTTGAGACATCTTATGTATGCAAGTATGAATTACTTATATGCCTCAAACTGGTGAAGAGAAATAATTTGATGAATAAATTACTTTTCCATCAAGTTACATATAAATAATGGAAAAACGAGAGAAATCTTCAGCAATTAAATTCGATTCGCACAGTTATTAATAATCTACTCAATCCAGATAGATGCTGGGTGAAATGTCACGGATAAATGTCTTGTCGTGAAAATGTCAGATGTATCTTAGTGTATGCAGTTGAACATTATGCAACAACTATCAACATCGACGAAGCGATATTTCTTTCCTGTTTATATTTATTGGAGTCAAACTATTCTCTTCTTTAAGAACAGAAAAAGGTAAATTGCATTTTAAATCGAAGGGATTTGTTCGACCGTTCAGTGACGCAAATTTTGCGTTGACCAATGCAACTGCTTGCAGACCAGGCAGGATATATTATATGCGTGGGGTATTGCGTAAATTGACAGGGAAAGTCTCGTGAGCTGTGATAATGTCAAAAAGTTGAGTTCGATTGATTTTGGGTCAATGTAGAACGAGAGAGAGAGAGAGGTTTTTGCACGCGATGCTTCTCGAGAACGAGCTCTGGCTGTTGACCGTGAAAAAAATACATGAGCGAACGCGAGATACGAGAAGATAGTAAACGCTGACCCAGAATTGAAAAGTGTGGAAACACATATATTTATTAATTCGTGAGGTAAAGAAAAAAAGAAAAGTCTTATCGGGAGCCGCGATCGCAATTACTCTGTGATTAGAAGAAATTATCTGAATCTGTATTTTTAAGTTAACGGACGTATTGGCGGATTTTGCGATTATGAACGAATTATTTAAGGAACATCTTAACGGACTACTTTGTAATTTAAGAAAGAAAATTATATTTAATTAATTATTAGAATAATTTAATTACTTGAATTTATTGGTTTTTCTTAATCAATAAATTATTGAAGTAATTAATTCAAGGGTAATTCAATATTTAGAAATAAAGATAATTTAGAGATTTATTGCAGTATTAAGAAATTGATTTAATTAAAAAAGAAGGGAAAAAATGTTATCTGGATCCGTAATCGCAATTACAATTCAACGCAATCAATTCAATTACAATCATGACGAAAACAAATTATCCGAATTTAGATCTTTGAGTTAAAGAACGTCCAGCGGGTTTTGCAATTGTGAACGAATTATGTGAACACATCTCAATAAGCTATTTTATAATTTAAAGAAAAAAATATTCAATTACTTGGATAATTTTTTGATTATAAATCAAAAATTATTTAACTAATTAATTAAAGAATTTAGAGAGAAATAATTCGGGATCTAAATATAAAATAATTTTAAAATCTTTTATTACGGTACTTATGAATATGATTTAAAAAATGATGATGATTTAAAAAATTAATAAAAAAGTCCTAAAGTATTGGTCTCAATATTATGTTCTTATCCTCGGCATATTATTGTTTCTAACGGCAGAATTGTGACGTTTATACTTGCGCAAGGATAGATTGCCGCTGGTAAATATTCCGGATCCTTTCTCTATTTTTTTCTTGATTTTTTTCTACAACGGTGCACCACGTTGCGCAGTTTTTCCACGCTGACTCACCTTTTTGCTTTTGCAGGGAACATTTACGTCTGCAGCCTGCTCGTCACACTCGCTGTAAGTGGCCAGACTTTCATCAATTGCGGGACACTTGCAGTTCTGCGAATGCAATTTCTTGCGCATCTTATTTCCGAAAGTTGATCGTTCTCTCCACGCATATCTCGTTGCGAGAACTTTCTGCGAGAAAAAAAAATCAAAACGCCAATAATATTTTGACAGATAAAAAGACTCGATTAATTAACTAAAATCGCATATAAATTCCAGCCATTTTCGGCCATCTTTCATTAAACTTTGTACTAAACGTTAGCAAAATAATTTATAATTCCGCAACGTCTGAAATTTGTATAATTTCCTAACTATAATTAATTTAAATTCTTGAAAAATTTTTAAATTATATGTATGTATATTACATCTTAGAAAAATATTTTTGGTCTGTATGTGTTGTAGGCGCTGCTCGTTGTAGTGCAATGTGGCGACATAATGCGCAAAAGCATCGTCTTCGATAAGAATACTCCGGATGTGTTTTATTGTCCGCAACACAAGCCTATTGGTTTCGAGAAAATGCTCGTCAAGGCAAGACCGCTTTCCAGGCTCTGTCAATTCGAGGGTCGTCCGATACCCGAGGATTACAAAAGCGACTGTTACAACGACGTGGACGAGACCGAGTATGCTTGCAAGGAGAAGTACAGAATCATGGTGAGTGTCTAGTTTTATTTGGGATCGTGGTAAATTACGCGTGCGAAAATGGAGGTAAAAACACGCTGTTTACATGGCTTAAAAAAACAATATACGTATGACTAAGATAAAAATCAACTTGAAGAATAAGAAATAAACTTCCAAAGAGAAATATTCTCTTTCATAGAAGAGCAATATTTTTGATGTTCAAAAATAGTGTTGCTCTTCTACAAAAGTTTAAAAGTTTACTTAATTTTTAATTAAATGAGATACAACCTGTAAAAAATTAATTTTATTCAAGTTAAAGAAAAAAACGCTCGACCTGTATCGTCGTAATATCAAAAACGCCTTAATGCGTGTAACGGATTGGTGTCGGTCTTTTTCTCGTTGCAGAAGCGATTCAATAATCCGGATGGGAATGCGAGAGTCATTGACGCCGAGAAGTAGAGAATGGGAATGATGCTGCACGACCGCAATCAATGCGCACGCAAATCATAAAACCCAAATAGAGTCAAAGCCACATCATACTAATGCTCGGGGCTGCTGCTGCATCGAAGGGAGCTCAACTATTTACAAATAATACTTATAATAAAATAATAACGGCGACGTAGATAAAGCAATTATTGCCTTAAATCAATTATCCATTTTTTCATATTACGGTATCAAGTAATATTGTATTACGTTATAATGTTATGTTTGTCTTTGCAAAATATACAAAATATACAAAAAAATACATCAATAAGCAAGTCACTGCCGCAGCGTGTATTCAAGATGAAGAAATGGATAACAAAAAATTAACAGACACAGCAAGACACTCATAAAATAACGAGATATTTTATAATATACATTTTTCCACTTATCTTAGTGAAATGATAAGGAACAATAAAGTTTGGTTCTGTAATGTTTAAGCTTCGTCAAGGGGGAATTTATTTGTATAACATTATTAATAAAACTAACCGCAAAACGGAGCTGGGTGATCCTTTGACGGAGCTTTGGAATGTATTATTGCTTTTATATGAGAAATCGAATAATATAGTTTTTTATCAATCATATGTTAGTAAGTCATTATCAATCGTATCGCCAGCATTTACTTTGTAACGCTTATAGATGATTTTAGTTATGGATACCATCTTAAAAAATTTATTTCATCTATTTATGATAATAATCTAAAAATGATAAAAAAATATAATCACAGAATTTTATAAAATATAAGAATTTCATAAAAAAAGACTAATTTTTCGACAATTTCGTGATGCCTGAACAAAACTATGGAATTTTTCATGAATCTGCAAATATAAAATATTTTATAAATTTCCTCTATTTATGTACACAAAGATTTTACTTTCATATCACATTTACATATAAATAAAGCATTGATAGAATAAATATTGTTTATTATATTCTTTTGTCGTCGATCTGTGTTGCGATATCTCGAGGAACATATTGAAACTCAGGAGCATGTGGTACGTAGTCCTCCAAGATTAAGTGCAGATAAATAATTAATCAATGTTGAGTGCGAGAGGAAAATGTAAATTACATCATGGATTCAGGGATAAATTATTTACGCTATCGTCACGCATATGATTATCTGATGGCCTTTGTTTTAGATGAGGCTTCATCCACCGGGAAGTAACACACCTTATAACGGGACACGTCTATCCAAGTTCCTGGCCTTCGATAAAGATTTACCGTACGCGCGAAAGAAGAATCAAGTGTAAGAAAGCGGCTGCATCCAAGGACATCCAGAGGCCTTGTGTTAATGTTAAAAAAACGTTCATACGATGAACACATTAGTTATGTTATTAATCTTATATGTCGAGAATGCAACTAAGAAAAATTCGCCGAGTTCCTGTAATCCAATTAATGAGTACTGCGTCCCATTTTCGATTGGGTCGGATCCGCTGTTGATTTATGTTACCATTTACTCATAATACTTGTGTTAAATTGATTTAACGTTCCTATTTGATTTAATGCAAGTGTGAACTTTTTTCTTGCAGTGAGATTGTTTTTGTAACATAAAAAACATTGTTGCTTAGTTATATAGATAGAGAAAAGAAAATAATATTTATATTTAGAGAAATATCTCTATTTTTATACATTGTTATCTGTATAATTAATACATGAGAAATATAATATTCATGTCATGATAATATATTCATATAGAATATGTAGACCAATGCACATTAATTTCGGTGATATTCAAGAACAATTTTCTCATGTAAATTACATGCATTTATATTGTGGGACTTAATTACAAAAATTAGTAAAATTTATAAAGGACAATTATATAAAAAACATAAACGAGAGATTTAATCTCAATTAAGAGAGGTATCTATTTGCCTTCTTTAAAATTTAATACTTAACATAACATTAACACAACAAACATTAAAAATTAGAAATATGTGAACAAAATTATAATTTTTTAACTTGAAGTGCAAAAATACTAATAATTATTTTAAATAGCAGCTTATTTTACATGTAAAAGTTAATTATTTTGCGTATTATCAAATCAATATCTCTTTTATAGAAATTCATAAATTTTTATTGTAATACAAAATTAAAAGATATAGAATAAAGACATAAATATTTATTCGAATTTTAGGCATGTATCCAACATCATGTTATTATTCGATGAAGCATTTATGTGATTCGTAATATTCTTTATAAAAAAAAATTAAAAAACGTTTTCATATTTTTTTACAAATATTATAACAATATTTTGCACTAATTCTGCAATTTTAATTATAAACTCGATTTTTTTTAGCGAAAATTTCATTATTTTTGTACCCATGCAATATACATGCGTGATTGTTCCAAGAATATGAAAGAAATACGAAGTTTTAATATAAATTCTATTATTTTCGGTCTCAATTTCCTAGTTTATACTATTATACCATACTTAAGATCGTTATTTACTATACACATTGTGAAAAGAAACTAATTAAAATTAAGAAATAATTTTTTTTAATATTCTTTGTACATCATATAACGGAAGATAGATAATCTATTTAAAAATCTTTAACTTAATTCTTTTCAAACATTTGCGATTGTATTTGATGAGATATACCTCATCAATAAATTTCTGTTTTTACAGACTAATGACTAAATCGGCAAGATATGAAGATAAAACTTGCATGTATCAGATTTACATGTTATTGCGATTGTGAAAACTTAAGAAATAGAACAAAGACACGCAATTTGTGTAATATGATTAATTACACGTTCTACAAAATTAGTTTCCCTCCATTTGAAGCTCTAATCTGCGCTACCTGTTCCGGAGTGAGTATGAGTTTGCTGCCATTGGGTAGTGCCAAAGCATAATGACTGCCAGTCTCGTTTACGACTACCACTAATTGCGTATTGGCATTCGTCGTTGGCGGTGGATTGTTCTTCACTGGCGTGATGGATATACCACCCTGACTCATTCGTTGAATGATTTGCGGTGAGAGAATACCTTTTGTTGAAGGGACAGTGATATCCGAAGTGATTGTAGGTTTCTGTCTAGATTGATTAGCAATTCTTTGAGACTCCAATGATCTAGCTCTGTTGGTTGGAGTTTTTTCTGAGGTATTAGGCGTTTTCTCCATAATGATCATTTCTATCTCATCGTCGCTATCACTGAGCATGATCAGAGATGTGACCTTCTGACCGCTGTTTTCTGTGCTGGATGTTTGTGATGTTTTCTGCCTTTGCCTCGACAAAGGAACATTTTTCGAATTGGTGGGTCTCTGACCTCTGACAGGTGTGCCAATGCTTCTTATTACCGAACCATTAAAATGCTGTGAGTTCTGTCGCGGTGCTAGTTGTCTGTTATTTTGCATGTATCTATTCTGCAGTCTGGGAGTGCAATGAACCGGATTCTGCGAATTCAGTTGATTTATCATCGGTCCAGGTGCAACCATGTACTCTGTTTGAGGCTGTGTTGCAACCGCTACATAAGATACGTAATTCGTATTGTTGATGTACGGTTGAGCCATTATCTGCGGACTCTGTTGTTGATAAACAAACTGTTGTTGCTGAGTAGGGGGTAGATATTTGCTCTGTGGAGTCTGTATTACATAAGGCTGCTGCATGTAGTAAGTCGCATGCGGAGCTTGCGGCACAGTTCCCTGAATGATCGCCCCCTGGGGCACCATTCCAGAATTCTGTGGCACCATATAATAATATTTTTGTTGCGTATTCGTGGGTTCGTAATTGCTCTGTTCATATTGCTGGCTTGTGGCATGTGGATTGGACTCGTACATCGGACCCTCATCCTTGATGTCAAGTTCCGAATGCACACTCTTGACAGATTCAATCTTACAAATCGTGTCCATGGAAGGCACTTCTCTTTTATTTTTGTTGTTCGCTACAGAAGCAGTGTTACCAAGGATTTGCGGAGCAGCTGCATTTTCAGGCTCTCTCTTGTTATCTTTGAGTTTATCCTTCAACTTATCTTTAACAATTTTCGCATTAGGATGAGAAACATCAAACGTCGTATTACTCTGAGATGTATTTTCTGTGATATTCTGTACTTTATGTTCAAATGATTTTAATCTTCGATTGGTAGCTAAAACAGTACAAATATTGAAGTTATAAAAGTGTTACATGATACAGAATTTAATAATTTTTATATTTTCAATTTTTTTCTACTTTTCAGTATTCTTTCATATTAAAATTGTTATTAATTATATTCTCATATTCAAACAAATTTTATGAAAAATCTAGCCTCAATAGAGAAAAAAATATAATAGTATAGCTTTTCTTCAAGATATTAGATACTCACACGAACGTTTATTTTTCCTTTTGCGAGAGCTCGGTAGAATCCAATCTTGGTCTGAGTCCTCCTCGTCCGACCAGTTGTCAGCGTTTCGTTCTTTCGAATTAGTGTGAGAAGCGGATGTATTGGCCTGTGTGCCGGGAGCCGCGTATACTGCCTCAACGTCGGCCCATTCCTCCAGCTCGTCCTCATCGCTCTCGTCATCTGAATAAAGTTGTTCTGTGTATGAAGAGATGCCGCGTGCTCGTAACACCCGTCTACTGTGTTGCGTTTCCTGGTTTGCATCTGCGAAGGATGTATTATTTTCAATATGAAAGAAGAATAAGACAATCGAATGAGAAATCAAAGACGGAAAAGAATACCTTCGTCTGATGCATTCTCGTTTTCTCCGTCTTGTTTGATTTCCAGTTTCTTTTCTTCTTCCACAACTTCGTTTCTTCCTGATGTCGCCTTGATCTCCGACTGCTTGTTACCATTTCCATTTTGCCGTTCATTACTCGGCTCTCGGCTCTCGTGGTGACTTTGTTTAGACTCTTTGACCGTACTTTCGTTTTCACTTTCGACTTGTGATTGTTTTTGTGTGTTTTTGGTGCCAAGTGGGGATACGGCAGATTGCGGTAACGTTTGTAACGTTGCGTCTCCGGGAATTGAGAGTGGATCCCTGCCCTGCGTCCCAAGAACCCACCAATTAGAGCTGAGACCACTCTCACCGGATGAGTCCTGATCCTCCACACTGCTACAACACATCACATGTTTGTCTACCATACATGCTCGACAAAAGTGATTAACATTTAACGTTACTAGAAGAAATGTGGACAACGACCACATCGTAAATCACATGGATTGTAGCAATCTCAAGGCGTCAGGTAATTCGAATTCTCCAGACAATGAAAATGAAAAGGTATGAAAAGTTATGAAGATATAAAACATTATTTGCTATGTGTATTATTGATCAAAATCAAAATATTTCGTAAATGTGCATTAATAAAGCGGAATAATAATGAAATGATATTTCACAATATCTTTAATTATAATTCTTTTTTGTGATCGTTTGTATGACAATGTATGAGATTTTTAGAAATAATGTCCAATTACTTCGCATTGTAAGACATAAAAATGCAAGTTGCTGTACATACCCTTCTTTAAAATTAGACCATTCCCTTTGAAGTTTTGCCTTTGCTTTTCGCATTGCATCCTTTAAAGTTGTCTCTACTGGTTCCACAGAACTTAATAATTCAGTCAACTTCTTTACTAACTTTACTTCACACAAAGGAATAATTTCCGCCTGTAAACGCAGCGTAATTTTTAGCCAATGCAACAAAATATTATGAAAATATATTAGACAATAAATTAGCAAAGACTCTAATTGTAAGAGTAAATTAATAAAAGAGAGATATATATCATGCTGCCACATAGCCATGCTGATATCGATGCAAATTTATTAGTCAAATTTACATGAAAACTTAATTATAAACGTTTCGACCATTGCTTTTAGTCTTTCTCAGTAATTGTTATTCATTAAGACATGCATTCATTAAGACATGCAAATATCGCAATTTTAACTATTTTTTTTTTATATAATTGATTAAATAAGTCGCAAAAATAACATATATCAATAACATGGATATTAGTTCAAAAGAGCATTCTAATTATGTTGATATCTGATATAGATCCATAAGAGAAACAATGATCAAATGACAATAAGAATTATTGTGAAATAATCGGCAATTAAACAAATAAAAAGTGATCAAATGTAAAGATAATCGGACGAATATTATACGAATATTAATGACGATTAATGGAATGAGGCTACGACAAAAATGCTAAAAATGTTAGAGATAACGCATTAAGCTTACGTTACTAGAATTATTGCTTTCCAAATCACTTTCTGAAAAATTGGCAATGAGATCCCGTAATTCTTCTATACTGTCAACTACAAGATAAAAATCAGAAACGCTAAGATCAGACAACATCTTGTCAAAACGTTGCTTGCACTCATCTGTCTTTGGATCCGTGGATGTTTGCAAATTATAATCGATATCAATATTATTTGCGTCATTGTCCAAATCGTATTCCATGCTTGTTTGTAATCGCGGCTCATTTAAATTTTCTTCATCTGTTTCATTCATTTGATCGTCTTCTACTTCCTGTCTTTCATTTATCTCATTTCCTGTTGTATATTTTTTATTGTACTGCTTTACATTTCGAGATCGTAGTTTCATTCCTTCTCTCAAATTATTTGATTCTGCTTCTATCACTGGTAGCGTTTTATTCAGATACTGTCTAGTCACTTCTTCACTTAATGATGCACTATTGATAGAGGAAGATGAATAAAATAACTCAAAAGTTCTTTTTTTATTTAAACTGTTTTCATTTGTGCTAACATTACTATCACTAGTTTTCGTTTCACTCAGTTTTTCGTCATCCGATTTAGATGTCAAATTCATTGAAATATCACTTACATCACTGGCAGGAATATTTTTGGAATATACATCTTCAAATAATTTGGAACTTTCGGCATTAATTATCTCATTCAATTTCTCGTCGTCTGTTTTTGAACTATTGGACAAAGTATCACCTGATTTCTCGTTCTCATCCTTTTCATCAAATGTTTCACCACAGGATATTACAGTATTTTTGTACAATTCAACTAAGTTTTCTTGTGATACTAATTCATTACTGCTTTCGCGTTCACTCATTTTTTTTTCTTCGTCGATTTCAGTTTTCAAATCATGTAACATTTCATTAATTATTCCTATACTGCAATTATCATTCTGAGTATTAGTAAAACCTTTGAACATCGGCGAAGACTCATCATCAACAGATTTGGTATCGCTGGAGTTATGGGTGTCATAGCCGCTGGATCTTGCATTTGAACTTTCCTCGGACGTTTTTGACAAGCTCCTACGACGCTTCCTGCTTATAGTGTCCAGGATTATGTTGTTGTTATTACTGCACGTGCTGATACTACTCAAATTCGTATCCTCACTGATAAACGAACCTGTAGTGCTGTCGTTATTACTAAGATCTTTATCATCGTTTCTATTTTCAAGCCTGTGATCAGATAAGTTATTGTGTATTTGTAATTTTCTCTTTTTGTATCTAATGAATTTACTCCTCTTCTTCGTCTCTTGATCTTGTCTGACAGGCTGCAAAATTCATAATTTATTAATTAATATGTTTACATAGCTTGTAAAATATGCAAAACTTATACAAAATATCGTAACATTTTAAAACTTTCTGAGACTAGATATCTATGTTATCTATATAAGATTCTAGATTTTTGAATACCTAGAATACCGAGATTTTTGAGAATATTTTTAATCGTATTGTAAATTTATTGGTATTAAAACTTATTGATCATTATATTAGACATTGTAATTTAAAGATATAGAGAAAGATATATAATTATTACAATTATTCGTTTATAATATTTCTATTATCTTTTTTAAAGAACAAGACATTGTTTTTTAAAATTGTGTAAAGACATTGTTAGGTTCGTTTCTACCAATTGTAGATTAACTTTAATCTCGGTTCAACTTACTCTTCATCTTTTTTTAATTCCAAGGATTAGAAAAAGAAGAAGAGTAAATTAAATCAAGATTAAAGTTAATTTATGTTGATAGAAATGGGCATTATTTAAATTTCACAGAAGAATAAGTGAATTACCTTAACAGTTGACAAGATCTTATTGTCTAGAGAATGCCTATAAATTCTGAGATCATTCGGCATAAATTGAGGAAAATAAATGTATCTTGCCCCATTACGATCCATTCCTAAAATTGTTTCAAACTGATCTTCCCATGGTTGATTCACCATGTCTTCTTGAACTGTTTTTCTAGTATGCTACAAGAATTGTGACAGTTTAATTTAACAACTCTTTTTTTTAGATGATTGTATCACTCACCATGATTGTATCACAGACAGTTTTTAGCAACCAGACTCTTTGCTTGAAACTAAGATCTTCAAAATCTTTGCCATCGAGCATCGAAGTTTCGGGGAAAACGTTCCAGAATTCTGGTTCAACACCGATAGTTTCTAGAACCTAAAAATCTTCGATCATATTTCTGATCACTGTCGTGCAGTTGTGTGTGTGTGTGTGTGTGTGTATACACACATATACATATACACATTATGTGTACAACTTTGCTTCCGCCGTTTTCCTATAGATGGCTTTAGCGGTAAGTGGTGGTCGAAATAAATAGATCATAGACGTCATACAATAAACTTGGGCATCAACATAACCCCATAGAAACATTAGTCGATTTGTGTCTGCATCATAAAGTTATTCTCGATTGAAAATATCAGTTTACGAGTCAAATTCTCGTCATTTGCGGGAGGTTTTAATTTTTTGCTTCAATATGAAGAAATCTGCGGCTGAGACTCATCGAATCTCTCAAATATTTATTAAATATGGTGAGGCCGCTATTAGTGAAAGAACGTGTCGTGAGTGGTTTCAACGCTTCAAGAACGGATTTTGACGTTCAAGGTCATGCTCTGTATTTGAGACCAGCTCGGCGTAGTGTATTATGACTAGTGTATTATTACTGTTAAAACCGACTGAAACAATCACAGGCGATCGGTATCGAACGCAATTGATGCGTTTGAGCCGAGCATTGAAAGACAAACGGCCGCAATACAACGAGAGACACGATAAAGTGATTTTGCAGCATGACAATGCTCGACCCCATGTGACCCCATGTTGTGAAAGTGGTCAAGACATATTTGGAAACGTTGAAATGGGAAGTCCTACCCTACCCGCCGTATTCTCCAGACGTTGCTCCCTCTGACTATCACTTGTTTCGATCAATGGCACACGGCCTGGCTGACCAGCACTTCCGGTCTTATGAAGAAGTAAAAAATTGGATCGATTCGTGGATAGCCTCAAAAGATGACCAGTTTTTTCAATATATATATATATATATATGTATGTTCTAAAATGTTGCGTACATATTTAATATAAAATTATAAAAATTATAAATATTATCAGTATGCAACACAAACTTACGACAATACATACTTTGGTTGCGTCTTTATGCTTCGCACGATAAATTTTGAACCAGCTTGACATTTTATACGCGAGAATATTGGTCCAAAATTCATATGGCATCGGTGGCACCTTGCGTAGCTTTACTTTGGTTATCGGGGAACTAGAATTTTGAAAGTAAATTTTGTATTATAATGTCATCTTTTCATATAGTTAAATCTATCGGATTTAATATATGCACCTCAGCAAACACGTCATGATGTTTGCTAATTGTTTAGAGGCCCTCGGTATCAATAGCATCCTTTCCATTTCGTATAAAGATAACTGAGGTATATTAAGAGATTCCTTTGTTAAGTAGAGGAAATGGAAAATTTGTGGTATCTGAAAAAGTATTATAATGTCGTGTTTTTTTTTATCTAATTAAGAATTATCAATATAATTATAAGAAATTTTAATTACCTCCCACATCGTTTCCATCTTCTCCCTCATCTCATCGGTAAAAAAATTGTCTTGTTCCCCATCATTTACTTTGCGCTCCTCGACCTCTTTTCGCTTTCTAGTCTTGTACGACATTTTACCTGTAACAAGAGATGGAATCATTTTATGAAAAAAAAGCAACGATGTAAAATAAAATAAATTACGATGCATCAATTTTATTTCATCAAGATAAACATTGTGAACAATGTGCAAAAGAGAAAGAGAGAGATTGTAATTAATTTTAAACAAAAATGAACATTTTTTCATGTCGCAAATTAATTATTCGCTTGTTAGTACAAGCTGGCCTAGACCTATCATATTTTCTCTACAAATTTAATGATATGATAATTAATTATACAATGCCAAAGAGCAGAACCGTTGAAATATCACAGTTGACTGTTATCAAAATATCATAATTCTAATGAGAAGCAATACCACGTTGTTAATTACGCTGATGATAGAATCACGTGTCTATTTAAAAGGCGCATATCTTGTCACTCGTGCATAATCATTATCGTCGCTTATGACACCGTCAGTGCAGAACAAACGGCGGTGACCTAATATCGCCGTTATACAAAGAGTATTATGTAGCTAGAAAAAGCTTAACCTTGCTACTATTCGAAGCAAGGTCTCCTCACCTCTTCCACAGTTCATCTAATTACTAGATATTCCGTTCAATGGTAAATTTTCCTCGATGATCTGCATTATCGTAATCAATGTGAATTATTTAGATGTTCTTACTAGCAAAATGTTTTTTGCTCGTTTATCATTGACCGTCTCCCTCCATAAATAAAAGATTAATTAATGTCTCTTGTGCGTGTATCACGTGTCGTAAATTCAGTTTCGTATCGAATCAAAGCGTGACAATAAATTGTCGACCATTGATGTCTATCCAGCAAATTGCTTCCGAACACCTATAATTTCATATAAGCATATCATTGCCATTCTCACCCGGTAAACGAAGGGAAGGCATTTCGTTCAAGATACGAACATCAGTCGGATGGATCGGCCAGTTTCGACTCGCGTGCCGTTGAACGTCGATAAGAATAACACGAATGTTTGTCTTGTAATTATGCTGAGACGACGATCCATCAGAAGAAGCGGTCACGAAACATTTCCACGAGCATTTCCTGCAAACGAGTCTGTAACCACTTCACCATTCTTGTCTCGTTATGCATAACAATGGAAAATTGCATGAAACTATCGTGACCATAGTCTCATCGCGATTTTCCATATGCTTTTCTGTATTGTAGATTCGGTGCCATCATTGTTTACAATAGTGATCTAACTGATCGGTTATGGATTTCCAAAATAAGAGATAAAGTTGAATGATGCGTTACGTATTATCTACATTATGACACGCATTCATTTATATTTATTGCGTTTTTGATGATTAAAGGAGCGTTCGCATTAATTACATTAAAAAGTATTTAATATATCCCTTATAAAATTAAAATTACGCAAGGCATATAAATTATTTAATAATTTCAAATTGATATAATTTGTAATAACATAATAAATGAATTGTAAATATCAAATATTACATTGTTTTTAAATGAATAAATTATAAATATTATCAACTATTACATTATTATTAAATCAAAACATCACGACAATAGAACTAATGAATTTAATAATGTAATTAATATTGTAATTAATGTATAATTAATATTGTAATTTCATCAATTTTCATTATATCGATTTAATTCTTCGGACATTATATTTTTATCACAAGTGTAATATATAAGGTATTGTATAAAAATATCGAAAAATGAACATACATTGTAATAAATTTTTTTCCATCAAAATGCCATTAAGAATATATTTAAGGATTAGCAAATATACGTTTGTATGTAATGTAATTTAATTTTAATCTCGAAACCTTTTTTTTAGATCTAAGAATAAAAAAAAATGAAAAGTAAGTTGAGATTAATCTATATTGATAGAAACGGGCATTACTATCTTTAAGAAAGATATATGGTTTATGGGTTATCTTCGTCTTTCTAATACATCGTTAAATGCCAGCATTTCGTAAATGTTGTAATTCACTTCATCGGAGTGATACTGTATCAAGTTACTTGCTATGATGAAGTGAACTGCAATGTTTACGAAATGCCAGTATTTAACGATGTATCAAGATAGAAATTACTCGTCAAACGCGTAACTTCTTCGATGAAAAAATTCGTAGAAGTTTTAATTGTTGTATGATGTATTATATGTGCTCCTATTAATAAAAAAGTTGTAGCATATAATAAAATTCAAGTGTATCATATTGAAAGTGGCACAAAGGGGTTAATAATTTAATTTATGCTTGTTTCTATTAACGTAGTTTAACTTAAATCTCTGTTCAACTAACTCTTCGTATTTTTTTAGTTCTACGAATTAGAAAAAGATAAAAACTATAATATAAGAATTGAGATTGAAGTTAATCTACATTCATAGAAACAGGCACTAACGATAAATTCTATTCAAGAGACAAAACAGCGCGAAATAGAAAAAAATTTGCACGCATGATGCGAGATAAGTTTGCATGCGAACATTTTATTAATTAATCCACCCTTGCTTAAGGATAACAATCGCGCAGAATGCTCCACTCTCATTACATTGTGACTAATACATAAACACGTAACAGTTTATAATCGCGCGACAACGTGCACTTCCTAATCGATCTATCCTGTGTATGCATCGGTGATACACGCGATCGATTCAATTTGTAATAGTGGATCATTGTGTACTTTGTAACGATGCATACAAAGCAACGGGATGCATCATTAGGACGCGGTATTTTTTTGTTTTTCTTTCTCTCACATGTGATGATTTTTTTCTTCCTCCCAAGCAAAAGATGTGCTTTCATATAATTAAGTGTACGACTTGAATCAAGGACGCTCGAGTAAAATTTATTGGATAAAATAAAGATGGCCCGATTCCGAGTAACAAAGTGAGGTTCAAGCCCAAGTAATAAAGTGACGTCTCTTGAGACATCATATGATGTCTCAATAATGTTTTTAATGTCTAATAAGTCGTTAGAAATCATCTTAATACTTGGGACATTTGTTCAATATATATATATATATATATATATATATATAGATAAATAGATAGATAGGTAGATAGAGAGAGGGAGAGGAAGGGAGGGAGGGAGGGAGGGAGAGAGAGAGAGAGATTGTGCTTTTCTCCATGAATGCACTCCTCTTTTTTTCGATCTATATACATTACGAACACGTGGACTCGTGACCGCAAATATTAAATAAAAGCGATTCGAAAAATTCTATTGTAAGTAGAGTGTCGGATCGTATCAAAGTATATATATTCGATTACTGAGAAAAAAAAAGAGGATTGTCACTTTTGTGTACTCGTTTATTGTTAAACAAGATATTCTGCACATGAAAGAGTAGACATGAAAAGATAAGTCACATTTATCGAATGTTTTCTCACCGTTTTATAGCTAACTATAATTTTATAGCTAAATGTAATTTTACATCATTTGTTATACTTTTCTCACGTCAATATAAAAATGCACTTCGTGGATAATCAGTGAATCAGAGATGCTAAACCAATGTGGAGGGGATTATTATTGCAGTTGTTAGCGGATGTATGCGATTCTAACTGTCGTTTCTAAAATTGATACCGAAATTTCGAGTTAAAATCATCTTAGACATAAAGATATTCATAGACAGTTTTTATATTTAAGATCGCGTCTTATCTTAAATAATCATAAACTAATCACAAAGCCGCATTAGCGTAGTTTTAAGACATTAAACGGTCTTGAAATAAAATAAAAACAAACTATATGAATATTAGCCAAAGTTCAAAATCACGTCTGACATAATATGTCTAAAAATATTTTAAAAGGCATCTTTTTTTGTAAGTATATGTAATAAAATTATTATTATCAATTATTATATATTATTATCATTATCTCTTTGTGTCTCTATTTTAAACTTTGTCTTGTTTGGAAAGGTACTAAAAACATTTTATCAGGAATTTTCCTATGAAAAAAAAAAAAATCTATTTTGAATTTATTAAAAAAATCTATCATTAGAATTAAGTTTGATTGTATCTTCATAAAAAAATAAGAGAACGTAATAACGTATGTCGCGATTATCTCGCGATCTTTTATGTAATGTTGGTTTGCGATTCGTCTTGTTAATATGATAATGGAGTAATAATAATGTCTATTTATCTAGGAGATCATGAGCGTGAATATGCATACGAGTACGAAGTATACGATGCGAGCGAAAGTTAGAAGGATGCTCATCGCTATTGTTATACGTCAGTTAGCTGTCGGCCGTCTTAGAGGATAGTTTGGAAAAGTCCCACGACAAAATCAGCGGAACTTTTTCCCGATTAGACGACAATATCGCTCGAAGAGACTCGAAATAAGCAGCTCATTCCTTGTACGATAAAGAATTGTTACAATAAATAATACTAATTGTAATTAATATTAAATAATGTGGAGATTAATGTTAATTGGAGAGGATCTTTTTAATTATTAAAAAATCATCTATGGGATAAGTTTCTCAAGTAAAGAAGAATAATTGAAAAGGAAGAAAAAACTGTGAATGCAAGCAGTTAGCATTCTTCTTTTTTGAAAGAAAGAAAATTTGCCGAATTTTAATAGTGATCTGCGTCAAGAAATAAAGTCATTGAAAGGGTCACGAGATCGCAATGAATCGAGAGAGAGAATGATCGTGAAATGGAAGATTCATTGAAACGAAAGAAAAGAAAAGCGATCCTCAACCCGTGGAATGATGCGCAAATATTAACACATGTCATGAACATCGATCGAGCATCCGATTTCGTTAATATGAAGATATTCAACACACCCATGATGCCATCGCAAACCTACAACCGCAATCATTCTTCGGATGAGAAGTATTATAATGACGCTGATGGAGCGCAATTTGATTTAAAAACTAGCAACACTATTCCATCGTACTCCGTCAACACCGTGCACCTACAGAATCCCTATAGACCACCTCAACAGCTAGATGGATTCGCGTCTCGTGATCACTTGAAGGTAAGATTAAAGTCCGCGAAGTTGCTTTCGTTCATCTTCTAAACGAAGAAATTGAATGTGAGAAGAAATGCATATGAAAAG